GATGATGTTTGAAGCTTGGGGGACACCCGAGATTTTCCGGATATATTATTGCATGGCTTTGAACGTCGAGTTGATATGATGAACAACAACCACCGTTTAGCGAGTCCTCAACGAGTTACTCAACCTACTTCAAGGCGCCCCTGGGTGTATTGGCATGATAACTGCACAAGCATTGCAAGCACTTTGCCGGAAGCCTTGGCTGCTGCGTTGTTTACTTTGGGGATCAGGATTTGCCAACTGTTAAAAAGTTGACGATTATCAGCTGAAAGACTTCAATGCTGATTGGACGCTGGCAGGAAGGCGTTCCCCGTGACGTGTCCCCTCGAAATTCGCCCTGAAGCTTCCCGTCGATCCAATTTCAAATTTAAAATCCCTTCCCCATATCCCAAAATTCAATTCCCCTCCCAGCCTTCCCCGCCAAAACTCTCATACTCCGCCCCATTAAAACCCCCGCTCTTGCCTGCCCCGCCATTCTTCAGCAGAGCGAGGCCCCAAGCAACTCTTTCAGAGGCAGTCCCCCTGCAACTCCACCCCACGAGCTGAGTGTATTCTTCGGCGGCTGCCGATCGGCGTGCACGTCTCGAGATGTCCGGACGCGGCAAGGGCGGCAAGGGCCTGGGCAAGGGCGGCGCCAAGCGTCACCGCAAGGTCCTGCGGGACAATATTCAGGGCATCACCAAGCCGGCGATCCGGCGCCTGGCGCGGCGGGGCGGCGTGAAGCGCATCAGCGGCCTAATCTACGAGGAGACGCGCGGCGTGCTCAAGGTCTTCCTGGAGAACGTGATCCGGGACGCGGTGACCTACACGGAGCACGCGCGGCGGAAGACGGTGACCGCGATGGACGTCGTCTACGCGCTGAAGCGCCAGGGCCGGACGCTGTACGGATTCGGCGGCTAGGGCGGCTGTCCGGTGGCTTATTGTTTTCTTCTGTTTTGGGAAGGGGATTCTGACGAGGGGGTTCGGGCGCTTGCCCGCGGCATGAGCTCAGGTTCGAGTGGCGGGGTTCGGCGCTTGGTTGTATGAAGCCGGAAAAAAAGAAGAGCAGCGTGAAGGGGTTTGGGATCATCTTCCATGGAAGCCTCCGGGTTTTGTCTGGGATGTGGCGTGTGGGGCGGCCAAGGAATGCGCCCGCGCCGCAAGGAGGAGGAAGGCGCGCGACGTTCGAAATGGGCAAAACTCGCTGGTAACGATGACCGGGGACGGATAGGAGCCGCCCCGCTGGGACCCTGTTTGCACGGTTACTGTAAACTTTGTCGAAGTCGGCGTGCTGTGCGGCTGTGTGCATGGCCCAGACGTCTGGAGGCACGCTGATGAATACATTGCTCTGCGAAAAACCGCCTGGCGAAGGTTAGGACTGAACATTGGTCATCCGAACCTGGACCAGGGCCGGGTGAGCAATCGCCCGATGATTTGGAACAAAAATGCGGACGGGCTCCTGAGGCTGGGGCCCAGTTCTCTGGCAATTTCTGTGATCAGCAGCCCGCTGCCTCTTATCCCACAGGTCAACGAACTCCACCTCGATTAGGGCAGCACCACCCTGTCCTGGGCCAACTGCAGTGCTGTGCGAGCGGAAGGGGCTCCCGGTCGGAGGATTAGGCTCTGGGCGCCTCCTCACCCACTGGTCATTATGGCTCATGGTCGTGCCAGCCCCCAGGCAGGACAGTTGGAAATGTCCTGCTTGCCCACTTGGCAATGCCCGCCTCTTTGCCGCGGCCGTGATCGCAAGTCCCGCCATTCCCAACAGCGCTCCCAACGTTTGTTTTGTTCCCCGCGGTGTTTCGCGTTTCTGCTGGAGCGCAGGCATTGCCTCTGTCCGCTGCCGGAGACTGGTGGCCGTGGCGCGGCACTTTGGGGTCTGCGGGCGCCGAGAGGCAAGGCAGGTGGCGGGTCACGCTGGTGGAGGCCTTTGGTTGCATGGCGGTCCCTGCAGGTACGGGCGCAGCCGCGTGCTTTGCACTCCGTTTCTGGTGTGCTTTCTCTTTCCTTCCAATATGCTGTACCCTGCGCAGCGATTGGTCGGCCAGGCGTCAACGAAAGCGCGAAGCCGGGCAAACACTGCAACGTTTCTTGCGCGTGGGAACGTTGCTTTTGTCTTCATTCCGGAGTACCTGCGCGATGATTGGTTGCCGCTCGGCCCGGTGTCATCGGAAGTGGAAAGCACATCAAATACTGCAACGTTCTTTGGTATGTCAGAACGATTTTTCTGTCTTCAGCACGTTTTTGCTGGGCTATCTGCTTTCGTCGACACCAGGCCGAGCGGCGACCAATCATCCCGCAGGGTACTTAGGAATGAAAAAGAAAAGACAGAAAATACGTTCCCACGTGCAAAAAAAAACGTTGCCCCCCTTCCTGGTCCGATTACTCATCGTCACGATCGCCGGCACGCCGGACGCCCGGCTCGCCGCGCCGTCCAAGAATTGAACCCCTTGGACCGACGAGATCTGGCGGAGCCCCAGGCAACCCTCCCCAATACTGCACAAAGTACTGGCGGCGGGACCAACGTCAGTCCGAGGTGCTCCGAGGCCGGACCCACGCGGCAGCGACCCGTGCCACATGCGTCAAATTTGGGCGCCGTTTGGGCCGTGTGCGCACAGCCGCTGGGCGCGCAAAGCTGGCAAGCACCCGAAGCGGGCTACCGCAGCAGGAGGACGAGGAACTCAGCGACGGCCGGTTGCTCATCCGCAGGACGGGGCGCGAGGGTGCCAGGTGGGGGCCACGGGGGGCTACTGGCCGGGGATGCGGAATTCGGGGGGGAGAGATTGGGCCGTTGCTGGTTGATGGGGTTGGGGTTGGGGGGCGGGGGTTGGGAGGGGGGGGCCCTCCGCTGGGGGAGATTGCCGCGGTGGTGTTGCTTTAGTGGGGAGAAGTACGGGATCTGGCACCGAGGGGAGGATCTGGCCCGATCTGGCGCGCGGGGCCGCCGCGCGGGGGCCGGCGTCGGCGGTGCGGGGCGGCCACGCGGCGTCACACTCGATGGCTCGCCCGGCGCGGGTGGCTGGCGATGGGGTGTCCAGCGGGGCCGGGGCTCGGCGACGGGGTGACCGATCGCCCCGGCGGGGATCGCGATGGGCAGGCGCGCATCGGGCTGAGCGCGGCCCGCTTGAGGTCAACATCCCTTCCTGCGCAACTGCCAAAGTCCGGCCCCCGCTCCAAGGGCGGGGAGGGGCGGGGGGCCGGTCCCCGCCCCTCTCGGGTCGGATCACACCCCCGCTGCCGGGCTCGCAACCCGGGCGGGCGCACTGCCGCGCCAATTGCCCCCCCCGGTCCGCGCGGCTGCGGCGCCAGGAGGCCCCCGCGGATTGCGATGACCGGGGGCCGCGTCGCGGCCCGCGCGACGCGGAGATCTGCCCAGCATCTCCGGCGAGGGGCCGGCCGGGCCGATAGCGCAGCTGCCGTCGCGCGGCGCTGCCTTCCAGGCACGGCATCCTGCACTCCCCCTCCGACTTGGCCACCAGCCGTTCGCAGCCTCCCGCTTGCCGCCGGTGTTCCCGCGCGAGTCGCGACGCAGAAACGCCCTCCCGCGCGGATCTCTCCCCCTCAACCCCCCGTCCCCCGCCGCCCGCGTCTGATTCGCCACCGTTGGAGCCGCCGTCTCGGGGTGTTTCCGCCTATTGCTGGGTCCCAGACTTCCCCCCCAAGCGCCAACTCCCAAGGGCCGCACGACCCCGGATGTCGAAACACAAAACGAACCCGAACGCGCGGCTGGCTGCCTGTTGGCCTGTCCGCATCAGCGGCTGGAGTTCCGCCGGCGGTGAGCGCCCCCGCGGTGAGCACCTCGGTGGGAGGCGTCTCAGTTCGGTGGTCGTGGGTGGCTGGGGTGGGCTGACGTGGCCGATATCCCGGTTTGGGCGCGCCCCCACAGATTTCAGCGCCAGCGGTGGCCTTGCCGATGAGGCGGGGCGCAGGACGGCGTCCAGGGCCTGAAGGTGCTCGCGGAGTGTGGGATCGAGATTCCCGGCTCCAGGGCGGGCTGTCCGAGAGGGGCTGGCTCCGGACTGGCCGTGGCCAGCGCGATGGGCGCCTGCGGAGCAGCAATTTATGGGCCAGGGATTTTGCAATTTGGTGCGCAGGCAGTGGGTTTTTCCCGAAGAACGGAAAGGCGTCCACTTCTGGGGTTGGAGGCAGACGTGCCGCGAAGCGCCCGCGTCGCTCGAGCTTGATCGGATCCTTCCCGGTGGCGACGCGCGGAGGCGGCGCGTGCCTGAGCAGTCTCGAAGTCGTTCATTGCGCCATCGCTTGGTGGCAATGTTTTGAGACTGTGACGTTGGCCACGCCTCGCACAAAGGGCGCGCGTTGGCGCATTTCCAGCGCCCTGGGCCTGTTGGGGCTGCAGCCTGTGCTCGGAGTTAGCGGTTGGCTTTCCTGGCAGTGGGACGATGGGTTGCGGGCGCACGTGGCGGGACCGCCACCCACTGCACCGATGCCTCCTCCGCATCGCGGCGATGGACTGGAATGCTTCGGCCGCCGCGTTTTGGTGGCGCAAGTTGCAGTTTCGGCATCAGTTCTTCTGCGTTCGGGGCACTTGGCATTCAGTAGCGCACGCAGTAGAGGCTTGGGAACCCCACTGGCTGGAGAGGGTTTAGGATTTCCCTCTGCAGCATTTAAGACTTGGTGTTTGGCGGTCATCCGAGGGTATTCGAACGACGATTCGTCGTCCCTGAGCTTTTAGTCCGATGAGCTGGCTGTGCTGCGTGGTCTTATCTTTTCCAGGCATTGTGGGCAACGATGCTTGCCACCTGCCAATGCAGCCATCAGCAAACTAGCACTGGCGACCAGCGCATAGGTAACTTGTTGCCTATCGTGTTCCATGGCAGCAAGCAACAGAGTAGGGAGGGTACAAGTAAGGGGATGACCTGAGCCACTGTAGCAGGTACTTTTAGAAGCAGGATGTATAGCAAGGGTGCAGTTGCCGCTGCAAGGTAGCAACACATTCTTCAGGAACTGACCATCTTGAGAATCAACTGCACACTCTTGTTGAGTGTCAGCAAAAAGTGCAACACCTCAAAGCAGCACCCAAAATAGCGTCGTTGCTCCTGGGCCTGATTGTACTTTGCACAAGGTTGTAATATCTTGACCCCAAAGCAGCTGGCCCTAAAATACTGCCAAATAAGTGAACGCAATAAAGCAACGTGGAAAATGAAAATCTAGCGGTGGCCCATGCCTTCACTGAGTTCAGATCATCAGGTAGTCAGTCTTGCTGGGGCAATCACTACTCAATTTCAAAGTCATCGCATGTCCCGTGCCTGCGTCCACAGACTCACCATCTCCAGAACGCAGCCCTGAACCGAAACTGCAGCCCCAGCAATACCTGGGCCTAAGCCAAGCTGCCAATCTTGCAAGCAACCTGCACACAATGCCACATCGATGTTTTTTGGTGTTCTCTGGGTTTATGCCTGCTCAGAATGGTACCAATGTGCCATCCATACCATAGTCAGTTCTCTTTGGGCCCTCCTCAGGGAACAAAGCCTGGAAGATCCTATAGTTCACAAAATCGCCTTGTATTTGCCTGGGTATGTTTTCATCAATCGCCGCAAATGCGAGCACACTCATGGGTTGGTGACAATGCTAACAAGTTGGCGGGCGCCATCTGTTCGTAGATCACACACCGGTCGGTGAACACAAGGGGGTAAGAAAGTGGCCCACCCAGGTGGCTGTTAAGGCCAGGGCAGGCATGCAGGAGTCATTCCTGCAGGCCTTGGAGGTGTCGGATGGCCAGATCATGGTCAACGATGACCGCACGAGTGAGGAGGTGAGTATCAGGTGGATATGCAGATCACGATGTACTGCGGCGAGTAGCATGACGTCAGGCTAAGCAAAGGCACGTTCAGCAACACTGCAACACAGTAAGGTGCACTCAGACACTGGAGTATGTTCAGGAAAATGAGGTCAAATTGAGCCATGGAGATACCTTGAGGTGTTCAAGTGTGATAGGTAACCTAATGCATTCAGGTGTTATGGTGCACAAGTAGTGCATTGACGTATGTCGAAGTACCTTGATTTGCATACTGCTTCAACACAGAAGATCAGCACAATTTGCTAGTGGTCTTCCTTGAATATATGTAGAGGCACAATGCCTTTCAGGAGAATGGCAGTGTTTCACCATATCCAGAACATTTAAAAGATACGAGTTGATATGGTAGTTTGAACACAGTGGAACCGAAGAAAGGTATTGCAGTGAACTAGCAAGATTTGGTGGAGGCAGAAATGTGGGTGTAAAGCAGAGTGCAGTCCTACCAGTGACTTATGGGGCGTTGATGCCCAGTACAAAAATCTAGGGGCTGCGGAAGGGTGTTGCTGTATCTGTCCTTTCTTCATGTGTTGCATTGCATTTCTGGGTTTAGGTGCTGTTTGTGTGTTGCCTCATTTGACATCGTGTCTACACTGTGCAGGGTCAGCTGCTTGTGTAACATTTGAAACATTGTTGGCACATGGGTTTGGGCGTCTGACACCCAGCTGTTTTTCTTACACATAGTCATACTCAAAAGCTGACACCTGGGTATCAAAGCCTAAAATCACCAGGACCATGAGGGTAGTGAAACATGTTCGCAGTTATCCACCCATTTTAAGTCTAGCACAGTCCATGCACCAGGCTTGTGTTTGTGTTGTATGTATGCATTTGTTCCCTGAGCATATGTGCAGGCTTGTTCTGCACATTCTTTGCGTGAGTCAGAGCAACAGATGACAAATGTTTTGGTTTTATTACAGAGAAGAGGCTCAGAGCAGTTGTTGCAGCTGTTGCTGTTGATCAGCTATAGAAGTTCACTATGCAGTAGCATTTTATCTCTGTCCTGTGTTGGTGAATCTCAAAAGCTCTGTTTGCATGCAGCAGATGATCAAGGGGAAGTGCACGAAATGCGGCACAACACGGACACCCCAGTGGAGAGAGGGTCCTGAAGGTGGGGGCTCTCTTATTCACTGCTGACGTTGTGGCCCTTTGTGGCTTAATCGATGAAATCAGCAGCGAACGTTCTTGCTAGCTGGTAAATCCTCTGCACGCTTTCAGGGTGTGTGTCTCTATTCCATGTATTCATCATTTGGTATCCTTGACATCCTATGTGCCAAATTAATTTTGTGGAATAAGGAGGCGGTTCCTGATGTGTCTGATATTCAGCCCAGTGCTCATTGCTCACCTCTGCATGTTGCCCCTGCCTTTGTTTTGCCCTGTGTGGAGTGCATCACTGTCCAAGTTTCACACTGCTTGCTCTGACAGAGTAGAATTGCAGAAAGGTAGAATTCAACATGTACGAATACATGAAAAGGGCTCAATCTCAATACAAACTAAAATACAGCGAGGCGACGACAGCATATAGACGTGGAATGTGTTTATTACTTCATGGTGCATTCTTGAAACATTGGCTTGTGGAGTGCTTGTATGGTGACCTGTCCCTGGCCCTTAACCCAGCCCTCCCTAACGTAGCACAAGCTACTCCTTTTGGCTGGTTGCAATGTTGCTATAGTGTGTATAGGTTTTCCTTTCTTGGTATCAGTTTGCTGCTGTTGCGGCTGACTTGTTCCATTGCAATTCGGCAGGCCCCAAGACCCTCTGCAATGCGTGCGGGGTGAGACTGAGCAGGGAAAAGAAAACCAAATGGGGCAAGGCCACCAGGAGGAAGAAGGTATGGCTTGGGTGTCACTGTCAGCTTGACTTTCTGGGTGCAACGCGCCATATGCCCCAGCGTTTGTAAAATCTGCATCTCTAAGATGCTTCCAATAGAGCTGTCCATGGCCTTGTTTGTCATTTCCTTATTCACAGTGTCCTGGATTGTGTGACAAGCAACAAATTTCAAACAAAGATGTGGGTCCAAAAAGATTGGGACAAGTCAATGATCATGCCTATGTGGCTCCTGTCTCGCCTTCAGTTGATTCCAGTGGGCAGCTTTGTGTCTGCACCAGTGGTCAGTGCTGGAAGTGATTCATCATCTTGACAGCTGTGAGTTCCATTTACGCACTTTGACCACTGTATCTCAGGCTGATGGCCCTGACAGCCACAATTGCTGCACTGGCAACAGTCGAATCAGGGAATTTGCATCAAAGTGCTGCCTGCAGAAGGACCCAGTGTACTTGTGAATGCAATGCATTATGGTCTGTTATGCTGTGGTGAAGGAAGGGCCACCATGCTGAAGTGAACCTGTGGTACTGAGGCACTTTCATGCACATATGAATGAGTATATACTGCAGACAATGAACTGTACACCATGCACACATATGTTCACCAACCTGATAACCCTGTAGGCACAGCAGCAGAAGAACCCCCCTCCCTGCCTGCGGCCCTCTGTCCACCGACGCAAGCCCCTAGTCACCTCCCAGCCCCGCGTGCGTGTTCGGGCCTCTGACGTGGCACTCATCACGCAGCTGCGCAACGTGCTGCCCATCGCTGCTGGGGCCGGGGCTGCCTCGCCAAGTGAAGGGGACATGGATGCTTCCAAATTGCTGAACCGGGACATCAACGCTGCGGTGCAGCTGCTGTCAATGTCGTTTGCTTCCAAGGGGGCCAAGCGGAAAGTCCCTGGAGGGAAGAGGGAGGGGGAGGTGGGAAAGTTCGAGTTTATGAGCAGGGGGAAGGAGCGGTGTGGGGGCTTTCCCATCGATAAGGGGCAGGTGGCCTGGGGGGCAGTCCCTGAGGCGAGGAGGGCAGAGTTGTGGCCGATGCGGGCACAGCTGCAGACGGCGTGGTGGCAGGTGGAGGCCGCGGAGGCGGCTGTGGCAGCAGTGGCTGAGGTGAGCCAGCAGGGGCACACTTGAATGTGGCCCTTTTTAAATTGAAGTAACTGCATTTACATGAAAAGGAAATAATAGCATGCTGTGATTGTTGTGAACTTGCAGAGCGAATGGAGCTGTATTTGATTGGCCTGAATTGGGTCTACTTGAATGTGGGGGCCTTGAGCCACTGGGGTGTGCAAAAAGCAAGAAAGCATGCACATAACAAACACTTGTGTATGACTGCAAATTTGGGCCACCTTCCTTTTTGTGAGTTGGCCATTGGTTTGCAGCGCCTGGAAGCTGCTGTTGTTGCAGTTCATGATGCAAACGATCGACAGGAGTAAGAGCAACAAACATTTGAATGCACCTTTTGGCACTTCGTCGCCCTGTGTTGAGGCAGGATTCCTTTCATGGCGTTTCGCTACACACCGAAGGATGGGGCCCTCTCGGAGGAAATGGCTTGCATGTGCGCATCCATGGGAGTTGTATTGGTGCTATTGTGACATAACAAGAGATCAGCATCTCTTCTGATGGGTTTGGGTCGGCTCGGGAACACCCAAGTGCAATGTGAACTCGGAACGGGAGATAGATGATCTGTCAAGAAGCGTTCCAAGCTATGGCACGCAAATTCGCGTTCAGAACCCCTTTTGCCCCCCAAATAGCTGCAGCATCGTTTTATACAATTACTCAACACAAGAGATCACAGCAACACATTCCAGGCGATCTCCATCTTGTGATAGTAAATGGGCAAATTGTCAAAAGCCCAGAATCTCACCCCTAAAATGGGGTTAGCAGCGTCCACAATGCACCAGAGGAAATGCTGGGAAGGGAGAGGGGCGCGAAGATCATGTTGACATTACCTGATGGCTCCATTGTCGCTGCGATGGTTGCAGGTTCTGGCTGCGCGGACGGCCGCTGCCATGGAGGCCCAGCTGCGATACCAGGATCTCACCAAACTGTGGGAGCAGGCAGCGTCGTCGAGGGAGCCAGACGATGGGCAGCATTGCAAGTGGCGAAAGACAGAGCACGCTGCTCAAGACGTCTGATGTCGTGATCCAGACAATTCGAGTGGTGTTGGTGGATCAATCAATTTTGCGGGGGTTTGAATTTTTGGCCAGTCCTGCAGCAGCATCAGTCGAATGACGTGGGAATCTTGTCAGTGCGAAAGTTTCAGCAGGCGAAGCCTGGGCCAATAAATTGCCGGGTGGCTCGTGCATTGCGTTGCGTGGGTGGAGGGTTGGGGAGGACGATGGGGCGCTGTGGGTCGCAGTTTGTCACTTGGGAAATAAACGGAATTGAAACTTGGGGGGGCTGTACTAATTCGCGGCAGTGTAATTGTATTGCGGTTGGGGCCTTGGGTCCCGTTCCAATGGTGCGCCCCTGTGCCGAGCTGGCTCTGCCGCCATTCATACCTGCACTGTCTCGGATTCTCAACCTGAATGGCCAGCGATTGTTGGATGTGGCCACATTCCATAGTGATCATGTGCATGCGACATGAAGTTCTTGCATTATCGGCGCTGCAGTTATCAACGTTGATGAGTGCAGCGCCGAAAATGCAAGAGTTTCGTCAAATAGTCCATTTCAGTGACGAAGGCAGGCAGGGTCGAGGTATGGCGACCACTGACTGTTGAACGTAGGCTTGAGTACACCGCAAAGGCTTGCAGCCGAGCAAGGGACAACATCATCAATGTCCTTGATGCTATTCCCGATGCCTCATCACCTCTTTGCGCTGTTGCAACCAGAACTGATTGAGTAGTACCAACAGTTTGACGCACACGGTAGTGATGAGGCAGTAGGAATTGCGCTGAAGACATTGATGATCGGGCTGGCCGTAAGGGACAGAACTCCTGCTATCCCTTTGCTCGGCTGTAAACCGTTGCCATGGACTCGAGCGCACGTTCCCCGTTCAGAGGTCGGCACCCCTGGACCCTGCCTGCCTTCGTTTCTGCATTTATCAACGTTGATAAATGCATCGCCGAAAGGGTTATTATTTTTTTTTGCGACAGTGAAATTGTTCTTTTTTGCGACGTTCTTTTTTGCGGCAGTGACGATAATTGATGCGCGAGATGTTGGCATCAGATTTGCCACACCACTCCAGTGCAGTCCACGGGGCCTTCTCTTACAACGGCGCTGAAGGCGCGTCTGTTCGAAGAAGGGGCCAAAAGGCGAAACGGGAGCGTTTGGGGACGCCCAGGGTCCCCACCTTGCGGAGGGGTCTGAAGTTGCCATTCGGCGATCACTTTGACGCTGAGATTCAGCCGAATTGGCTGAGGCTGGAGCCCCCCGTTTCCTCCCAAGCTCTGTTTTTGCCATGCTAGCCCCCTGAAATGCGCGCAATTGGCCACGCGGGGAGACGGCGCCGCCAACTGGGACCAGGGAGCGTTGATCGTGACGCCGGATGGGGAGGCCAAGGCGCTGGTTGCCAGCGCCATTGCCGTCCAAGCATCGACCGACAAGGCGCCCACGCCCAGCGCCGTTGACTGGTCACACGACCAGGTTGTGCTACCAGGTGGGGGCACGACCTGTGAGCCACGACCTGTGGCGGGCTGCCACTGGCGGCATTTTAGCATTTGGCGCAACCTAGCGCCCATTTGGCGCAACCTAGCGCCCATTTGGCGCCGCCTAGCCTTTGCGCCACCCAGATCCCCGACAATCACAGCGTTGACTCGTGAAGTTCGAGGAAGCAGAACAACGATCCCTCGGGCAGCGAACAGCAGTGACGGCGGCTGGTAGCGGCTGGTGGCCAGTGGCCAATGGTGGGTGGCGGGTGGCGGGGGCGGGCAGGCGAGCTGGTTCGAAGGCCCCGCCGCCTTCCCAATCTGTGCATTAGTCATATTCACTGTCGCAAAAAAGAGTAGTTTGGCACTGTCCCAAAAAAGAACAGTCCACTGTCTGCAGAAGTTGCCCCATTGCGCAGAAAATGGCGGCAGTCATGTTGAACAAAATGAGGAGGGCCAGGCCATTATAGACCATTCTGACCGCTCCTATAATTGAATTCGTCTTCGTCTCATCAATCTTCAGCATCCAGGCCAGCCACCCGAGTAGGGTCACCAAGAGTTCCCCGATCCACTGGATGCCAGCGCCCAGGAACTTCACACCCCGCCCGACAGCGCCAGCCAACGCCGCCATGACGGCAGCCCCTTCCATGGGCGTTCCCGGAAAGCTCATATCACCCCCTCACCTCACCGCAGAAGTCTCCACCAGATCCGTACGACGCAACGTCCTCACAGCGTCCACTCGTTGCGCGTACCGGCCGATCCGCACTCCCGTAGGGTGCTACGGCACTCCAGCACCAGCGACGGCGCTCGCCTTGCGTAATGCGCCGCCCTCAGTCACTCCGGATCCCACGAATGTCTTACTCAACACTCAGCGCGAGTGTGAGAAACGCCACAGAGCCTCGGGGCTCCTTAGGCCGGCTTGCGGACACGCGGGTACCGCAAGAGGGCAAGACCGGTGAGCGGTCGAGCCGGCGGGGGGCTGTGGCGCGACGGTGGGAGGTACAGGCGGCTGGGACACAGTGTTGCGGGGCTCTTTTAATGCCTCCGCTGGTCCCTTTTCTCCGGCGCGCGTCCCACTTCATCCGCCTGCACCCGGTTGGGCCGATGGCCCCTCCGCCGAATCCGGCGGGCGTAATCGGGGTGCTCGCTCGTTCGTTGCGCGGTGGGCCCTCTTGCGCTCTGGGATCGGGCGGTCCTGCCGTTCGAAGACGGCGGGTAGCTAAGGCAGCTTGCTCCCCGGGCCGCGAGGCCCGTGCAGAGCGCGGCAGTGAGCCAAAACGGGTAACAGAGCGGGGAGCAACGCACCCCCGCGTACGTACTGGTGGTCGGCCACATTCCGGCCTGACCACCCATCACACAGACACCACACAATGTACATCAGCGTGTCACGACTGTATCGCCCGGCATACCCCATATCGGACCCACTACCGATACACCGTAGCCCAGTCTACCCCCACGGCCTGTCCCTTAAGTACAAGGACTTCCCTAAGCCACAAATGACTCCATACTTGGGGGATAATAACAAGTAAAGAGCCTACGAGTATCTAAAGATCATAAAGAATCCAAATAATAGGTCCAATCCCACAGATGTCTAACCAACCAAGACTAATGGCCATAAATCTCTTGACCCCCATATGTTTCCACAACAATACTTCCCCCTGGGGGGAGTTTTCGCCCTCGAAAACAAGACCGAAATCACTCCACTGACCATCTGTCTAGTCCCTCTGTGGAATTTTGGGATATGTTCCAGTGTACAAGAAAATCAACTGACCTTCTTGTTATTGGGACCTCTTCAGTATCACTGCAACAGCTGCTCATCTCAAAATCTCCCAGTCAGGTCTCTCCCATCACTATGTCAGATGTACACTCGTGTTCATCTTGTAAGCAGAAAAGATGAAATAATACTATGACCTGTGTCCGAATACAGCAGGTTAGCACGAGTGCTATCTACCTGTACACTAAGTATGTTGCCAGTCGACCAGGAGCATCCGACTATCCACTACCTGACCAGTCTGATATAAAAATAAAAACATATGAGCCAACTATCCATCCGGGGATCGGTATAGATCTACTGATAATCCTCTCTGTCCTAATCCCTCAGATGAATCTCCCCGAAGTATATTTTCCTCTTTGAAACTACAGTGTACCTTAGTCATTCTATCTCCATATCCACCATGACAAGGTATCCCAATAAAAGATTTCTCGGCTCCTCACTGCACGAATCGATCATAGTCCTCTATCTATCTCAGCCCAATCATCAATCAGTAAAGCATCGGTCTGGCCTCAACATCCGGTGTCCCATACCACTATCAATCTTACCAGCACCAAGCCTCCTGTCTCAAGGACTGAACATAAATCAAACTCCCCTCAGATCTGAAGACAATGATGTAATCATGGAAACTCTTATTGATACGGTTGCTTTTATAGATGAATTAGATGTATTTGATTACCCTAAATGGGTCTGAGTTGGGTAAACTGGCCCTGGGGTGGTTACAAAGGACATGGGACAATGAACGGAGCAATTAAAGACAATCTTGTATAATGTACAAATGTAGTAACCGCCCGGGGATTCCGACTCCCCGTTTCATCCGACCTGTGCGCCCGCGGGAGC